AAAAAAAAAAAAAAAAAAAAAAAAAAAAAAAAAAAAAAAAATTAAGTTATAGACAGTGTTGCTTTGATGAGGTTACAAGGGGCCACCCCAGAAGCCTTTTGCCTACAGGCCTCTGGGTCTGCCCTATCTGCTGGGGCCCACCTACCAGGTTGGTATTCTCCTTCTGCAGCTTCCGAAGGAGGTGATGATAGTACTTGGTCATCTTGCTGGACGTCCCGTGTTCCTGCAGCTTGTCCAGGATGGCGGTGTCCGTCTTCTGCCGTAGCTCCTGCTCCTGCCAGACAGCCTGCCGGGCTATCTGGAGCTCACTCAGGACTGCTGAGTGTTCCTGCAGAGAAGGAAGAGCTGTGCATGGGATGTGGCCGCGGGCATCCTCCCATGGCTCTGTGGGTTGGCGGCCATGCTCACCAGGTAGCCCTTGTTCAGCATCTCCTCCGTGTCCTGCAGGGCCAGCTGGTAGGTGTTAAACTCGCTCTGCAGGGCTTCCTGCTTGTTCAAGCACTGGACGGTCATTTTCTTCACCAACGTGGCTTCTGTCTCCGAGCGGTTCAGGAGGCAGGCCAGCTTCTCGTTCTTTTCTTCCTCCTTCATGATGGACCTCTTATAGGCTTCCATGTCACCGTCTATGGACTTGACCTGATGCTCACACTCCCTGCAAAACCAGAAGAGTGAAGCGGGTTACAGGAGAGAGCCGAGAACCTGGGCACCTGGCTGTTCTCCACTCGGAAGGATCTCACGGAGGGGATTCCACACGTAGAGAAATAATTTGGGGGTCAACTCTTTCTTCTTCTTCTTTTGGTTTTACAAGACAGGGTTTCTCTGTGTAGCCTTGGTTGTTCTGGACTCACTTTGCAGACCAGGCTGGCCTCGAACTCACAGAGATCCACCTGCCTCTGCCTCCCTGAGTGCTGGGATTAAAAGTGTATGCTACCTCACCCAACTTGGGTGCCACCTCTTAACTGCTATTTATTTTGTGTGTCTTCTAATTTGCTTTTCAGTTGCTGTGATAAACACTGACCAAAAGCGGTTTGGGGAGGAAAAGGTTTGTTTGGCTTTCAGGTTCATCATCAAGGGAAGCCTTGGGAACCTGCAGGCAGGAACTGAAGCAGAGGCCATGACAGAACGCTGCTGACTGCTTGCTCACACAGCCCAGGGCTGGTGTGGTCCAGGATTCAGCCTGCCCACATCAGTCACTGATCAAGAGACAGATGTAGAGGAATGTTAACTCAGAGCATGGCTGCTCCGGCAAGAGATCACATCCAAAGACCTTCTAGGTCTATGTGATCTGCCTGGAATACAGACACACCTTTAATCCAGGAGACAGAGGCAAGCAGATCTCTGAGTTCAAGGCCAGCCCGGTATAGAGCAAGTTTTAGGCAAAGAAAAGCTTAGGTCTAGGTGTGGTGGGACATGCCTTTAATCCCAAACAACGAAGGTAAAAGTTTGTGGAAGGAAGCACCCATGTTTGAAAATGATGTCTAATTGAGTGGCAGAAAAGATCCAACTCTAATGAGAAGAGAGAAGAAAGGGAAGCTACTTAAGGGGTAATAGAGAGAGAGAGGAGACACTTTTTACCAGGACAGTGATAGAGAGACGGGTTGCAGAGAGAGAACTCAGGTGAAGACCATATAAGCCAGAGAATGAGAAGGAGCCAGAAGATTAGAACAGATTGCTAGAGTTAGTTTAAAGCCAAGCAGAGCAATCCAGAGGCCAAGAGAGAAGCCAGATTGAATAAATCAGCTGGGAAAGGAGTGTGAGCCAGAGCTCAGTAAGGTCAGGAAAGGGTGAGCTTGTTCAGCAGTGAGCCTCAGAGGCTGAAAACACTCTAGGTCTAAGTTAGATTGTACAGAGGCTGAAAGCTTCCAGGACTAGGCCTCAGTTAGCAGAGGAGGCAGTTTTTCTGAGAACAACTCAAACAGGTGGATAAAAGTTCCTGTTCACAGATAATACGCCCAGGGTCATCTCGTGGGAGCAGAACCTCAACAGCAGTTCCCAGTGGCTCTAGTTTGTGTCAAACTGACAAAACCCAACTAGTACAGTGTGTGTGTGTATGTGCGCGCGCACACACACGTATGCATTTGTAGCATGACTGTCTTCCTCAGTCCCTTTCCACCCTATCTTTTAAATATTTATCCTACATATAAGTGCTCTATCTGCATGTACACCTGCATGACAGAAGAGGGCATAAGATTCCAGTATAGATGGCTGTGAGCCACCATGTGGGTGCTGGGAACTGAACTCAGGACCTCTGGAAGAGCAGCCAGTGCTCTTAACCTCCGAGCCGTCTCTCCAGCCCTCCACCCTAGTTTTTTTTTAATGTACTATTTATTTATTGTGTGTGTGTGTGTGTGTGTGTGTGTGTGTGTGAGTGCATGTGGGTCATGGCACATGTATGGAGGTCAGAGGACTAGTTGTGTCTTCTTTCTACTGAGGCACATCTGGGGCCTAAATGCGTGGCCTCAACCTTGCGATCCTCCTGCCTCCGGCTCATCAGCAGAGCCAACCAGTACTCACCACTGCAACTGGCTTATATTTTTAATTAAAAGCCGGAAGTTACTAGTTTTTGTATAGGGCCAGGCATGCACACCGCAGAGCAGTGTTCAGGTTATACGACTCTGGAGAGTCATTTATCTCCTTCAACCCTGTGGGAGCTGGGGATTGGACCTGAGCCGTCAGGCCGGGGAACAGGTGCCTTTTGCCCTCTGAACCACCTTGCTGGCCCCACCTTAATTTTTGGAGACAGGGTCTCTCAGTAAACTTGGAGCTCAGTGGTGTGGCTAGGCTGGTTGGCCACGGGGCCCCAGCGATCCTCCCGCCTCCATCTCCCCAGTCCTTGGAATGTAAGTGTGCACCCTTCGCTGGAGAGGGGGCTCCTGGTTAAGAGCACTGGCTGCCCTTCCAGACGACCCAGGCTCAATTCTCAGCACCCACATAGTGGCTCACAGCCATCCATAACTCCAGTTCCAAGGGATGAGATGCCTCCTGGTCTCTGGGTATGGTACACATGTGGGTCGGCAAACCCCGCCTACACTCAACAAATAAATAGGTAAATAAATATTTCATCAGGTGTGGAGGCGCACACCTTTAACCCCAGCACTCAGGAGGCAAAGGCAGGTGGATCTCTGTGAGTTCGAGGCCAGCCTGGTCTACACAGCAAGCTCCAGGACAGCCAGAGTCACATACAGAGACCCTCCCTCAAAAAACCCTCGCACCTGGCTCTCTTACCTGGGTCCTGGGGGTGGGAGTAGGGTTTGAGCTCTACCTGGCTGTGCCACACACGCTAACCATGGCATCTTCTGGCCCCTGACAACTATTTTCTAGTGTATCAACAGGACTAGTGATGGGACCTGTGGAGAACCATGTTTACAAGTCTTTGCTGATGTGGTTACGAAGAGAAAGGAACGAATCGAAGGGCCGGGCATGGCTGGAAAGTTCACCCGCCTATCATGCTGATGGTGCCCTGATCTAGACGTTTGCTGAATAGATCTAATAGGTCTCTGCCCCATTCACTTGGGGTCAGATAGGAGAGAAAAGAAAGCCTCATCCCCTTTAAATTGAATTTTCCATAGCATGGCTTACATAGTGCTTTGGAGGCCAGATAGAGCCACATAGTGAGATACTGCCTCAACACACACACACACCAAACAACAACAACAACCTGCAGGAGTGCAGGGGGGGGGTGTTCGGAACCAGGCTGCATCTATCCGGCTGGTCTTGCTTCTTCTGCCTGTATATTTAAGGTGAAAACAATCTTTGTGTATAACTTCCCTGCATAGTTCAACAAAGCTACCTTTGGCTTAGTATTGTTGACTGAAAAAAAAAGGTGTTTTAAATCCATGTTATCCACCTAAATGAGGTCTTGTGTTTTCTTTGTTTGCTAGGTTACAGCTGCACTCACCTCAGGTGTTCGTTCCCAGTGCAGGGAGCGGAACCCAGGCGCCGCACGCCAGGCAGGCCATCTACACTCACCTGCTCCCACGGCCTGTATCATTCTTTAAAAATTAACTATTTTTATTTGTGTGTGTGTGCGGGTGCGTGTGCACCCACACACCCACGCACCCACAGGCCTCCGAGGAGCCCAGAGGACAGGGTTGAGTCTCCTGGAGCCGGCATTCTGGGTGGTTTGGGGCTGCCTGCTGCCTGCTGCCTGCTGTGGGTTCTGGGCCTGAACCTGGGCAGTCTGGAAGCGTGCTCTGTTAACTCCCGAGCTGTCTCTCCAGCGCTCAGCACCTAGCAGTGAGCACCCGAGACTCTCCCTCATGACACAAGCCTCTGTGGGTGCTTGAGGGAGACAGCGCCGTCCCAGAAGCCACAACCACCCTCTGACCACAGCGCCATCACCTGCCCTTTCGTGGGAATTACAGCGGGATGTTGACACAACAAAGCACAACATCGAGGAAGGGCTGGGCTCCTTGCTTGGGTGGTGAAGCTGCTACCCAGCAACGGGACGCCTCCGTCTCCCACAGGGCACCCGTGTGGACCGGAGCCCGGGCTCCGGCGCCCCCTCCCTGGCGCCCCTCCCCGGGGGTGGTACCTGAGCGAATCCAGCACAGTCCAGTATGCCTCGTTCCGGTGCTTCATGCCCATGAGGCTGGTGGCCCACTGCTGCAGGACACGCTTCTTCTCCATGGTGATGGCGTCGATCTCGGTGATGGCCTCAAGAGACGGTGAGACACACACAGTAGCAAACGGCAGGAGCCACCGTCTGCGGCCCCCTCTCCTCCACATTCCTGTTCTTGTTTGAGTCAAGGTTTCTCTGTGTAGCCCTGGCCATCCTGGAGCTCACTGTGTAGACCAGGCTAGCCTCTAACTCGGAGACCCTGTCTCTGCTGAAATTAAAGGTGTCCGCCACCACTCCTGGCCCCCTCACAAATCAGCAGAGGGCAACAGGACACGGAACACAGCTTTGAAGAGGTCTGGGACTACCATGGAGCCTCTAGGCAGTTTGTGGGACTCAGTGCTGGGGGCTGAGAAGGACTCTCTCAGATAGAAGAGGACACACACTCCACACTGATGCCAAGGCAGGACCTAGTGACGGTCAAGATGGGGCCGAGGTCAGGCTGGCGGGGGGGCCACAGGGCCCACATCCCTGTGCCAGGTGAGTTCTTGCCCAGGGAGGAGGTGTCTGAGGCAAGAATGGCCAGGGCCTCCAGGAGGGCATCTGGCCTCGAGAAGAGGGCCCGACTTTCTGTGCTGGGGACTAGGACGCAGACCTACACTGCAGAAGGGAAAGGAAGTTCAGAGGGAGGGCTCCTTCCTGCGGGGGCGGGGGGCAGAGCTGTCCTAAGGTGTCATTTCCCAGGAGCTGTCCACCTGCCTTTTCTTGTTTGTTTTGTTTTTTTAAGACAGGGTTTCTCTGTGTAGCCTTGGATGTCCTGGACTCACTTGGATGTCCTGGACTCGATGTCAAGGCTGGCTTCGAACTCACAGAGATCCACCTGCTACTGCCTCCTGAGTGCTGAATTAAAGCCGTGCACCACGGCAGCTGGCTACACCTCTGTGCTCACTAGCTTGGAATGCAAGTCAATAGTGGACTAATTAAGGGGTCTGGACTGAGACCCCGACAGCCACAAGCGGGGCTGGGCACCTTCTGGGCCGTGCTTGGCAGTAACCTGTCTATAACCACTTCTCAGTTTCTCACTGGTTCACATGAACCGTGACCGTGTGTGGCCGTGGGCCTGCCGATGTCTGGGTGCTGAGGAGAACCAAACAGACCCAAGACTCAGCTGAGGACTCAGACTGGCAAAGGTGCCAGTCACCAAGACAAGTAGAGGGGGGACTCTGATGGGCAGTCATGAGGAGTCCAGGGTCGTCTTCAGCTACCGAGCAAGTTTGAGCCAAGGTGCATGAGACCCTGTCTCAAGGAAAAAGCAGAATCCGTAAAGGGAAGGGTCCGGCATTGGGGCCACACCAGTTGCAAGACTTCTGGATTAAGCATGGCCACCAACAGAAGAAAGAGACAAGAGACAGACCGCGGAAAAGGTCACCTGCCATTCTAGAGCAAAACCCACGGGCGTTTCTCTCTGCCCTATGCATGTTGTCACAAACCTGCCTGGCTCTGGATGAATTGGTCCCTTCCAAACCTTCCCTGGAGTAAGCCCCACTGGGGAGGAGTAGGAACCAGGTGGGCTCTGAGAGGTGATTGGGGCCGTCCTCTGGGTGATTGGGGCTGTCCTCTGTGGTGATTTTCGAACTAACGGAGGGCTTTTCTCTGCAGAGTACCGCTTGGCTAGGTCGGACCCACTCCCCATTCTCACCTCAGACTCTGCCATCCAGCAGGCCAGCTCCAGATGCGGCCCTTGTCCTTGGACTGGACTGGGAGCCAAGGACAGCTTTTTTTCCTCTATAGCTTCCAAGGTTGAGCTTTCCCAACTTACCAGCGCTGTCTGTGGTCTAATCCCCAACTCCTTCTGTTGCTGGCCATGCCTGGCGTGGCCCTCCGCCTCCCTGCCTGTCCCCTTATGGGTTCCCCATTTTTCCTCTTGAGATAGGGGCTCTCGCACCTAGGCCAGCTGAGAAAGATTTTCAGCTCCTGACAGTCCTGCGTCTGTCTTGGAGTGTTGGAATTGCAGGCGTGTATCAGCCCGGTTGATGCGGGGCTGGGAATGGAACCCAGGCCTCGTGCATACAACCGGCTCTGCACTGCACCATGTGGGAAAGGCTTCCTCAGCCCACGACTGTTTCTTCTGGGAAGTCTCCCTCAGCACCCATCCCACCATGCTTGTTTTTATAACCCTGTGTGACACTGGCTGGCCTGAAATTCACTCTGTAGGCCAGGCTGACCTCGAACTTAATGTGTCCGGGTGTTTTGCATGCCTGTTTGTCTGTGTGTGACCTGTGTGCCTAGTGCCCAAAGAGGCCAGAAGAGGGCACTGGATCCCCTGGGACTATAGCTATAGATGGTCGTGGGCCACCACGTGGGCTCTGGTAATGAACCTGGTTCTTCTGGAAGGTCAGCCACCATTCTTAACCTTGGCCCCTCTGTAAATATCCGAGTCCATGTGGACTTTATTTTAGTAGTTGGTATGGGAAAAGGTTTAAACTCTTCTCCAAGTGGTTAGTGGAGGGTCTCGGCACCACTAAACACACAATCCTCGGCTAACTAATAATCTGCCATGTTCTCTGCCCACTGGGCTGCCCGGGAGACCCCTGGAGCCCCAGCGGCTTGCCCGTCTGTTCCCGGGCTGGTAGCGCCTCGCAGCAGCAGCACCCGCAGCTTTGTGGCATGTGGCGACCTCTACCCGGGTATAGCCAGGGAGCCTTTCACATCTGGGAAACCGGATAGCCAGACTCTTCCCTTCCAAACAAGCCGTGGGTGTCCCCTGATTTGCTTTCCATATAAACCCAAGAATCGCTGTGCAGATTTAAAAATGGTGGCTTTGCTCAGACCTTCAGATGGGCACACACACAGGCTGAAGGGGCGGGCAGGGGGATGGCCACACTGAGTCATCTCTCCTGTCCCTCACTTCAGGCTACCTTCCCGCTCGCCCCCTCCATGCACCACGGTGACTCTCGGGTGGGGTGCCGGCTCTGCTCCTGGTTGCAGGCCCCAGGATGTTGCTGGGTTACTGTGACCCTGGTGTGGCCTCTAGTGGCTTCTCCATGGCCCCTTCTACACAGGGCAGGGACAAGGCACTACGTGGAAACAGCGCTGTCTGTGGTGCAGACAGTTGTCGCCAGGCCTTCCGTGCCACGCCAGAACCTGCCGGCACCACAAGTACAGGGAGGATGCCATTTCTGACTTCCCTGCAGGCCCTGCTACCTACCTGCTGCCCATCACCCAGCGGGTGTCTCCTGGACCCCGTGGCGAACGGCCAGGTGCGCTCAGATGCAGGGGACACGTGTGCAGTGCCCAGCCTTGATGTCACTTGGTGACTTACTGCACACTCGGCTGGTGGCAGTGGCTTACGGACAGACACGCTGGTGTTGGCCTGTTGAACCTGCCTTGCCGGGTGTAGGCGAAGGAGGGGTGGGGCTTCCGCTGGCTTTGGAAGCTTCTCTTACCTCGCTCACTGCTTTCCTGAGAATCCGAGTGTCCTCGGCCTGGGACAAGTACTGAGCCTCAAACAGGGAGACCTTTTCTTCCAGCTGGTGTGCCCTTTCGGTGAGCTGGTCCACGAACAGGTCCTGAGGAAGAGAGAGGGGCAGTAAGGAGCTGGCCACGGCTGAGGTCAACTCTCTGCCAGCAGCAAGGCTGAGCTCCACCTGTGGACCGTGGACCGGCCGAGCTCTTGCGGCGACAGCTCATGGGAATACCTGCTTTTTCTTTTCTATCTCCGCATGCATCTTCTGTGTCTCGGTCTTCTTCACCACGTGCTTAATCACGAGGATGTCATCGCGCAGGTCTTGGTCTACGTTCTGCATGTAGAAGAGGTGCACGGCCAGGCTCTCCAGCTCCGCCTGCAGGGCTGCCACTGTGGAGAAGGGAGCTGTCTGGTAGCGCCCACCCGAGGGGACCCTGCCACTGTGGAGAAGGGAGCTGTCTGGCAGCACCCACCCGAGGGGATCCTCGGGACAGCGCTCTGCCACGAGACAGGAGACTCATGTAACCCCGGCTGCCTGGTCTGCTACATGGATCAGGTCTCCTGGACTGGCCGTGTGGACCAGGCTGCTTGGAACTCGAGGGGATCCCCCTGCTTCTGCCTCCCAAGCGCTGGGGTTAAAGACCTGTGGCACCAAGCCGGATGGAGACGGATTCTTTTTTCAGAGAGTCTGTTTATAACCCAGGCTGGCTTCAAACCACCGGCTCCTCTGTCTCCACCACCTCCCCAGTGCTCTAGATGCAGTAGGCACTGCATCTAGACTGGGGACTGCCCGTGTGTGTGTGTGTGTGTGTGTGCGTGTGTGTGTGTGTGTGTGTGCGCGTGCGTGCGTGCGTGTGTGTGTGTGCGTGTGTGTGTGCGTGTGTGTGTGTGTGTGCGTGTGTGTGTGTGTGTGTGCCCGTGTGTGTGTGTGCCCGTGTGCGTGTGTGTGTGTGTGTGTGTGTGTACCACATGTGCTCACATGTGTAGAAGTTAGAGATAGAGACCAGCTGTTTTCCTCTCTTTCTCTCTACCTTACTGGTTTTTAAATTTCCTTCTCCTTCCTCTTCCTCTCCCTCCTCCTTGTCTTCTCCCCGTCCTCATCCTTCTAATCATATGTATAGGTGTTATGCTGTGTGTGCCTGTGTGTGTGTGTTTACACAGAAAGCTGAACTGTGTCAGTTGTTGGGTAGGCTGTCCCTGATGGGGGTGGTTTAAAGCGGGAAAGCCCGTGGCACTAGAGCACACTGCTAAGCCTTGCTGTAGCAGCAAGGCTTCCCGGGAAGGAGGATGGGAGGAGGCTGGAGGCTGGAGCGGGTTTGAGGTGTGCCCTGCCTCTCTCTGCAGTCTGGGGAGCCTCTGGCCTCTGGCGTTTTCTTTGTTGCGGGGCTCAGTCACCCGCCTTTGAGGAGCCATGCTCTTCGCCTGCATCTGAGGCTTCGCCTTTGCTGAGCCCGTGGGCCCGTGGGTCACGGCTTGTCAACCCACTGTGCAAGCCTTTCACCTGTGATGTCTTCAAGTATTTCCTCTGTCCTCCCCATCCCGTCTTCTGTCCCCCTAACGCACGTGTGAGGCCACTTGAAGGAGCTTGGAGTTCATGGTCTCCTCTCTCCCTCCTGTCTTTTCTCTTTTGTCTGATTTATCTGGGACAGTTTCTATTCTGTGAACTTGAGCGTTTCCCCCTCACTCATGAGTTTTTCGTTTCTCCAAGCGAAAACGGCGGCTGGGGACAGCGCCCTGCAAACACTGCCTGACTGCACCTCCTGAGGTGACTTCGTCCGAGCATGAGGGCCTTAGAGAGGCTCTCGAGACTAAGCGTGGTCGCTGCGGTGCCGCACGGCTCTAGGACACAGAAGGATGGCCACAGGCGACCAGGGGGAGAAAACTCCACCCACCACGGAAGAGAACGGCCCGGAGGACCCAGCCCTGCCGGCCTGTAAGGGCTGTGTGTCTGTTGATGAGGCGGCCCCATCCGGGGACTCAGCGTGGCTACTGAAGCAGGCCGCCTCCCTCTCCCACCTGAGTGGGCAAGGGTGTGCACCGCACACGGCCCTGAGCATGCCAAGGGCAACTTGTCTTTGCCAGGCGAGGAACTGAGCCAGTATGTCAATTATTCTTCTGAGTTTTCATTCCTTCGAGAATTAGTGAACACAAATTGATTTCCTAGTTTAACTGCCCGGAACCCATTTTCCTTCCCTGGGGTGTGTATCTCCGAGGTGTTTTTCTTTCGTCGGCTGGCTCATGGAAGTGACGAGAGTTCCCGTGCCGTGAAAACGTGGCGGGAAGGATTCCTGCATGACCCTGCCGGCTGTGCCCCTGAGCGTTGCTCTAGCGTTAAGGGGTGGCCCAGCCCCGCAGGGAGAGACGCCCATCCAGTCTGAGAGCCGGGGCACATGGCCGCCGTGTGGCGCGATGCTCGCTCCTTCTTGCCTCTGTTGCTGGGGGGTGTCACAGCAGGGCTGGGCCAACGGCCTGTGCCTTCTGCACGCTCCAGGGTCCACGGTGACGGAGAGTGGAGCCTTCCGTTTCAACGTCAGGTTCTTCCTTTGACGTTCTCTCTTGGTTTGGAGGTGAGTACGGAGAGGCTCGTGGTTAACACTGTGGGTTGAGTGTGTCCCCCTAAAATACAAGCGCTGGGGACCCAATCCCTAGTGCAGCGCTGCCGGGGGACTGGGGCAGATGGGGCGTGACTGGACGACAGGCCACCACACGGTGTATCACTAAACCTGTGTTGGTCCCTCCATATTGGAGCTGTGTAGCCGAGAGTAGAGTGCGTGCCTGGAATGCATGAAGACCAGCACCCATAGCCAGTGTAGCGGCACACGCATGTGACACCGGCCCAGGGGAGAGGGCAGCCGGTGGGCCGGAAGTTCGTGACCACCCGCACAACAGAGCTGAGGCCAGCCTGAGCCCAACACCCTGCCTCCTAAAATTAAAATGATGATGACGATGATAAAACAAATCTGCTCATTAGCAGGGTCTCAGTGGACCCTGTTACAGAGACACCCAAACAGAAAGAAAAGGCCACAGAATTCTCGCCTGCATTCCTCAGGGTTCAAGACACGCCCCGCCAGGACAGACACCAGGCATGCCGCCTGCTTTGTCTTGTTTGCTTTCAGAGTGTAGTTGACAAAGAAAGTTTTGGACATCAAGACACGTAAAGGATGAGCGGCCACTGGTGCCAGGTGGGAGGCCTCCCGCTCCCTGTCCACTGCCCCCTGGGCGTCCTCTGCTCTCTGCTCAGTGAGGGGGCGCAGCCTCTGCTGGGACACCGCTTATGGCACGCACAGCCCGACCCCACTCCCGTGATCCGGGGCACCTGGCCTCCTCTCAGCCCCTTTGGTGACTGCTGTCTCTTGTGCCAGGAGCAGGGCCTTGCCCATCTCCGAGCCCCACCCACGTGCTCTGCGTCCTCTGGGTTCACCTTTGGGACCACCACGGCCCTTCCACACTTCCTGTCTGGAGTCTCTACACCCGACCCCTGTCGGTCTCAGCTCTTGCTGCTCTGGTCAGTGAGCATTGGTGCTGGGCCTTCCCTTCCTAAAAAAGGTGGGCCCCTTCCCGTTCATGCAGTTGCTTTGCGGCGTCTCCAGTGACACCCAAGCACACATTTAGGGGACGGCCCCGAGTCTCGGGGTTCAGGGTGCTTACGCTTCTTTCGCTCCTCGTTGGCAGTCATGCAGGTCTTGTTGTACAGGGCGCGAGTCCTCAGCAGCTCCTCCTCCGTCCTCCTCCTCTCGCACGCAGCCAGGGAGTGCCGGTCGTGGCTCTTCTCCAGCTGCATTTGCAGGCGAGCCAGGTGCTGCTGGACCCCGTACAGGTTCACGCCCAGCTCCTGCCTCTGGTTCTGGGCCTGCTTGGTGGCCACATCCTGTGCCAGAGAAAGCAATAGGACTGAGGTGGGTCTGCGGGTGCCCACCAGGCTGGGGGAAGACAGGCCCCACACGCACCAGCTCTTGGATGTCCAGCTTCAGCTTTTCGATCTGCCGGCTGAGGTAGCTCTTCAGAGCCTCCTGGAATCTCACCATCAGGGGCTAAGAACAGAAAACCACAGCAGTCAGGCACTTTCCCGTCCCAAGCAGCAGTGCTCAGCCCGAGTTCTGTCTGCCTGTCGTCTGTCTGTCTTTCTCTGTCTGTTTCTCTGTCTCTGTCCATCTCTCTCTGTCTCCGTGTCTCTCTTTGTCTCTGTCTCCGAGGTGTTGGAATGGATGGGGGTGGTATGGACAGACACAGATGGTTTCTCAACCAAGACTCTTTCTGTGGAAGCCACAAGTCCCAGGCACCTCTGGGCCCATGCCAGATGCTGCAGAGATTGGGCTGAAGCTGTGGCTGCTGAGGGGACTTGCTGGGGAGAGGACGGGTGATGAACACAGCCATTGCACCGCTGTCAAATGAGGGCTCAGAGGATTTTCCCAGTGTGTTCTGGGATCCTTCTGAGCTCCCCAACTGCGTCACTCAAATCCAATCCGCCTTTCTCCCGTGCTGCAGTCTGGGAGGAGGACCCAGCGGCTGACACAGTGAAGAGAGAGTGACGCTACGCCTGCCTCCCTCCAGGATCCTGCATAGCCTCGGCACAGTTTTGGTTGTTAGGACAAAAAAGTGGGCGGAGACCAGATTTAGCTCATCCGATAGGGCCCAGATCCCCTACAGAGGATAATCAGGGCTCAAAAACCAAACCAAACACCCAGTAGAGTCAAAAGCAGAGTCCTGGTGCGTTTGTTTTTGTTTTTTTCAATTTGACACAACTAGAGTGTGAAAAGAGGGAACTTTAGTTGAGAAAACGCCCCCATTAGACTGGCCTACAGGCCAGACTGTGGGCCATTTCCTTGACTGACTCAGGAGGGTCCAGCCCACTGGGGGGGAGGGTCAACCCTGGGCAGGTGTCCTGGAATGTGTAAGAACTCAGACTGAGCAGGCCCTGGGGAGCAAGGCAGGGAGGTGCACCCTCCACGGCCTCTGCTCAGTCCCTGTGTCCTGGCCCCTGCCTTGAACTCCTACCCCAACTGCCCTTCGTGCTGGACTCTATCTGTCAACAGAAATAAACTTTCCTCCCCCAGGTACTGGTGTTTCTCACAGGAACAGAAAATAAACTAGGACAGCTGGGAAACACAGGAGGCCCAACCAGTGAGCACTGAGCCGCTGAGCAGACAGCCCTGGCAGTTGGCCGGACGCAGAAGAGCCCCAGGTAATCTCCTTCCTGCACAGGGCAAAAGCAATACCCTAGGCCCTTTTCTTACGTGGTCCGGGTCCAGAACCACCAGCTGGGAGCCCTCCTCTTCTGTCTCGTCTTCTAACGTTGCTCTTTCGACCAGGATCCCTTCATCAGGGCCAATGGCCTGGTCGTGGTCTCTAAAGCGTATCCTCGATTCGTCCTGGGACCAGGATGTGGGCAGCACTGCAACAAGCAAGCCGGACAGACAGAAACCGTCATGGAGGCTTGATAGCTGCATTCTGGGGGAGCGGGCATCAAGGCTGGCCCCACCCTTGCAGGACATATTGGGAGTTAGAAAGGAGGGTTCTCAGGCTTATCCACGGCTTGGGCACTGACTCAAGACATCTGGCAGAACGAGCCACATCCCAGCAGTGGATGGGACTCTCCGGGGGAGAGTGGGAACGAAGGAGGCTCCTTATAGTGGAGCACACATTTTGGTTCCCAGACCAAGCAGTTTGCTCCCATTTCTAATTCCAACTCAAAGCGATCCAGTGCCCCCTTCTGGTCTCCATGAATACTACACCCACAAGATCTACACGTCAGACACATGCATATACATATAAATTAAAGAAGGGAACAAAAAAGAAATGAAATCATAAATTGGGTCCTAGAAACCCTTGTCTTCGGTTGTATGTGATTATTTATTTATTTTGACACAGAGTTTCCCTATGTAGCCCTGGCTGGTCCAGAAATTACCATGTAGACCAGGCTAGCCTTGAACTCACAGAGACCCCACTGCCTCTTCCTCCCAATCCCTGCTGGGATTAAAGGTGTGCACTGTCACACTGGCTGCTGCCTAGAGCCGTAATCAGAACACAGTAGGTCCTCAACAGATGACCATTGAATAGATAAAGCAAGTAAAATATGCAGTCAAGGCCTGGCATGGTCCTAGCATGTGGGTCCTGGAGGCAGGGGAATCCGGAATTCAAGACCAGCCTTAGACACATAAGGAGCCTAAGCCATACCGGGCTTTGTGAGAGCCCGCTTTGTTTTTTATTTCTTTATTACTTTTTATTATGTGTGAGTACAGGTGTTTACAGAGACCAGAGGAGTCGGATCCCCCTGAACTTGCATTACAGGCTGTGGGCCACCCAAGGTGGCTGCTGGGAACTGAACCCAGGTCCTCTGGAAAAGCAGCAAAAGCGCTCTTAACCTCAGGGTCGTCTCTCCAGCCTCAACACCCTGTCTCAAACAAGACACTCCATACAAGCGAACAACATGAATAAGACACGCAGGTAAAACTGCGGGGTGTGTGGGACAGCGAACTGGATCTTCTGGATGCCCGGGTGGAGAGGAAGAAGGCGGTCCTTCGTGGCCTGTCGGCAGACGGCTGCATTGCTTAGAAGAGGAACCAACAAAGCCTGGTGGGTCTCTGCGAGTCTGTGACTTCACCTGCACCACCGGGAGCCATGATCCTGGCGTGTGCGTGTGTGTGCGTGCATGCGTGCATGCGTGTGGCCAGCTTCATGCTGCCATCCCACGGGCAGGCTGATCCATTGGGTGATGGCAGCCGTGGTCCAGGCTCAGGTCTGCACTGTCTTGCCTCCTCTGTAGCCATGTCCCCTGACTCTCTTGCTCTGTGGCCAGTCCAGGGCTTAGCGGCTCAAGGCTCCTCCCACTCCAGCTTTCACATTGCTGGGGCTACGTGTAAGGCACCCGGTCTATTTTTGAACCAGGACCTTGTGTGTGCCAAGCAAGGTCCCACCAGAGAGCTGCCTCCCTGCTGTCACCCCATTTTTTTTAAACTAGGCTAGACCTGCCCTATTTTCACGTCACTCGTAGCTAACCTGTGGCTTTGTGAGCTGAAGCACGTGTGCGTTTGTGTCCTGGAAAATACACAGGCTCCCCACCTGCACCCCACACAGTCAGGGGAGGACACAGGCGTGCCCTTCACGCTCACGGGAGGGCAGCTGTCCCAGGGCTCCGCCTCCACAGACCAGGAGGCAGCTGGAAGCTGGTGGGATCGGTCAGGGCCCTGGGTGCTGGGGCCTCATTGGTTCTCACATTACTGGATGGATCTTGGGGTCCTTGTCTGCACAATGGCTGCTACTTCGCTGGGCTGGTTCGAGGGAGAGTCCTCCACCTCTGTTGAACGTGAGCCCCGGGGAGTGCGGTGTCCCGTGTGGACCCTGGAGCTTCTCCTACACTAAAGGGGAATGGGCAGATGCATCGTACCTGGCTCTTGCCTGAGCCTTTCCTCTGTGTCCTCTCGGAAGTCATCAATATCATCGGAGGACGCCAGACTTTCCATAATGCTTAGTCGGAAGCGGTGTTGTGGCCCCATGGGAAAGAATCTTCGGCTGGCAGCCTCTGAGGATCTCGGCTAGACAGAGAATATCAGGAATCCATCAATGGGGCCTGCTCTAGTTTGGCTAGGGTCTAACTGGGTCCCCTCCTGCCCAGGGCTCTGCGTGGACAGACCCTCTTCGCTGTAGTACGGGTGTCAGAGGCTGGAAAGCATGTCCTGAACACAACCCTCACAGGAGCCTGCCTTTGCTCTGGGCTTCCAGCAGGGGCCTGGAAAGGGATGGCTTCCTTTTCTCTTCCCCCATCTAAACATCTTCCCTTCATGTAGATGTCTGGAGCCCCCCCCCCGAGACAAAGTCTGTCATGTAGCCCAGGCTGGCCCAGGTGCTTACAACCCTCATGTCTCCATCCTGAGTGCTGAAATTACAGGCCTGCGCTTTAACCCCTGGCTTGACGTGTATGTAGCGTTTGAAGGGATTCCTGCGGCTACTGACATGGGCCAGCTGTCCCCAGCAGCACCTGAGGCGATGCTGGCCCAGAAACAGGCGTGACATCATCTCTGGCCATGAGCTCCTCGTTGCCGTGAAGAAGGGGAGGGAAGACAGATACCCAGAAGCTAAGATGTTCACCCAAGTGTGTGTATCACCTAAAGGCAGGCTGGAGGCCATCGGCCTCGACCCCAGCCCAAGTGCTTTCCCACTGCTCCTCTTCAAATGGAGTAAGCTCTATCAGTCAGTTCTGACAAGCCCAGATCCTGAGGAACATTATGGAAGGCCAGAGGTCAATGCCTTGAGGAAGGGCTTCTAATGAGAAGCATATAGTCTATGCATACTGTGACCCCAATACTTCCTCTGGCTTCGTACTATCTGAATTCAACACGATCTGTATTTCTGTAGACAGAAAGCAGATGGCAGAAGGGAAGTGGGACTCTCAGGATGTGTCTCTGCCCTCTTGCTGCTCATCTCTGAAACCTCACTTCAGTGAAGTTTCTAGAAACTGGGTCCAAGGATGGGACCTGGAAGCTGGGTGTAGGTCTCCCACACAAAGGCCCTGTTCGGCTGTTTCTCGACTCACCAGATCCACAAAACGTGGGCTCTGGTTTGTTTGTTTGCCATGCCAGCGCTTGAACCCGTGTCCTCACAGCAGGCAGGCAGGTGGGCGCCTTAGCTCAGAACCACTGTGCATCCTGGAAGAGCAGGTTCGGTCACTAAGCAGAACCAAGGCTCCTCACACATGGGATCCCGCTGCCCTCCAAAGTTCAGAACTCTGTCAGCATTCGTGGGGCTGGGGAGAAGGTAGGGCCATTGCTTCATGGCTTGGGACAGTGGCTTCCGAGAAAAAGCCACTGTATGCTGTGGCAGCAGTGAGGCCCTGGGCAGCACATGTGTGTAGTACCCACGCTGGCCAGAAGAGGGCGTCGGAGTCCCTGGAAGGTGATGTGAGCGGCCACCACCTGGGTGCTGGGAACCCAGCCCGGGCCCTGTGTAAGAGCAGTGCGCCGACCACTGAGCTATATCCCCCTGAGTGCACAGCGGGGGGCAACAGGCTGTTGTGTGGACTGGATGGCACTGGGCTGACACTTTGGGAATGTCACCACTCTCTTCCCACCCGCCTCCGCTTCTGGAGCGATTCATGCAGAAAGCCTGACGGGGCCTAGGCCAGGAGAGAGGCTGGGGTGGGGACGGAAGAGTGTCCAGAGGGTGGAGTCTGTGGGAGGTGAGCACACCAGAACTACAGTGGAGGGCGGGCCTCTCAGCTTGGAGGAAAGGAACCCCCTCCTGAGAGGAGGGAGCCAGGGGAAGCCCTTGGAGCTGGGATGGAAATGGGTCCAGTCGGGTCCCACCAGCGTCCACACCAGTGTACGCAAACACGGCCATAAACGTGGGTCGGCATCCAGACTGTAGAGGGACGTGGGCAGCTCTGTGGGCAGGACCAGCCCTGCACACAGGTCCCCATCTGTCACTGCTTTTCTCTCAGTCTACGTGGTGTGTCTGATTCTAGGCCGGGGACTCTGCCGCAGAAGAACAGTGTGTGTGTGTGCGAGTGTGTGTGTGTGAATGTATGTGAGTATGTGTGTGATGTGTGTGTGAGTATGTGTGTGTGAGTATGTGTGTGAGTGTGTGTGTGAGTGTGTGTGTGATGTGTGTGTGTGTGATGTGTGTGTGAGTATGTGTGTGTGAGTATGTG